CAATAGACTGATCTATAGTCCAGGTTGTAATCTGATCTATAGTACAGACTATAAACTGATCTATAGTATAGTATAGTATAGACTATAGACTGATCTATAATATAGTATAGACTATAGACTGATATATAGTATAGTATAGACTATAGACTGATCTATAGTATAGTCCAGACTATAGACTGATCTATAGTCCAGACTATAGACTGATCTATAGTCCAGACTATAGACTGATCTACAGACCACACTATAGACTGATCTAAAGTACAGACTACAAACTGAGCCCAGACAATAGACTGCTCTACAGTCCAGACAATAGATTGATCCATAGTCCAGAACACAGACTGATCTATAGTCCAGACAATAGACTGATCTATGGTCCAGACTATAGACTGATCTAGAGCCAAGACTATAGACTTAAGACTGATCCATAGCCCAGACTACAGAATAATCTATAGTCCAGATTATAGGCTGATCTATAGTTGAGACTATATAGATTATAGACCATAGTTCAGACTATAGACTTATGTATCTATAGTCCAGACCATAGACTGATCTATAGTAAAGTATAGACTATATACTGATATTATAGACTATAGACTGATCTATAGTCCAACCTATAGACTGATCTATAGCCCAGACTATAGACTGATCTATAGTCCAGACTATAGACTGATCTATAGTGCAGACTATAGACTGATCTATAGTCCAGACTATAGATTGATCTACAGATCAGTATAGATTGATCTGTAGTCCAGCCTATTGACTGATGTGTAGTCTAGTCTATTGGCTGATCTATAGTATAGTATAGACTATAGACTGATCTATAATATAGTATAGACTATAGACTGATCTATAGTATAGTATAGACTATAGACTGATCTATAGTATAGTCCAGACTATAGACTGATCTATAGTCCAGACTATAGACTGATCTATAGTCCAGACTATAGACTGATCTACAGACCACACTATAGACTGATCTAAAGTACAGACTACAAACTGAGCCCAGACAATAGACTGCTCTACAGTCCAGACAATAGATTGATCCATAGTCCAGAACACAGACTGATCTATAGTCCAGACAATAGACTGATCTCTGGTCCAGACTATAGACTGATCTAGAGCCAAGACTATAGACTTAAGACTGATCCATAGCCCAGACTACAGAATAATCTATAGTCCAGATTATAGGCTGATCTATAGTTGAGACTATATAGATTATATACCATAGTTCAGACTATAGACTTATGTATCTATAGTCCAGACCATAGACTGATCTAAATTTCCAACAATGGACTGTAGATTGTTCTATATTTTAGACTATAGTTCAAACTGTAGACTGATTGCAGATTATAGTCTGTTTTATAATGCAGTCAATACACTGATCTATAGTTTAGACTATAGATTAAAATATAGTCCATACTATAGTTAAATCTACTGTCCAGACTATAGCTATATCTATATTACAAATTATGAACCGATGTTAGATCTATAGTTTAGACAAGAGATTGATACTAATCTATAGTTCACACTATAGATGTATTAACTGATTAGTACTATAGTCTAATTTATAGTATTTGGAGCAGTTTTGAAAACTTATTTTTGTTATTATAATTTAAAAAAATACCAAATTTGTAGTATTTTGTTTTTACAAAACAAAAATAAGATTAAACAATTGATGTAAATTAAAGAATTTGATAAAACTATAGTATTTTTCCATTTTAGAACAAATTCATGTAAATGTTTTTAGATATAAAGATAAAATCTAATCAGATGAATTTTTCATATAACTCAAAATAACAAAACAACGAAAATATTTAGTTATCAAACTTTTAGTTATCCAATATATAATTTGAAATCGGTTATAAGTTCAGAAAATATTGAATAAAATTATCAAATTAATATGTCTTCAAATTTGTTTGTAACTTATAGTAGTCTGCTGGCGATGATAAATATATTTATAGACGCCGAAAAACAATTACAGACATCATCCCTTTAACGACTGACTGACAGAATACATTTTACGTTTTGGCCTTAAAGTAAATCGCCAGTAATTTTCCATTCCATTATAATTTTTTCTCAAAAGCTATTTTAATAATAATTTTATTTTTTATTTTTGTGTAGGTAAATAAAGATAGAGCATGTTGTTTAGCTTCATTTTATTTAATTTTATTTTAATTTAAGAGAAGAGATTATTTTGGCATATAAAATACAAAGACGAGATGCGCAGTGTGGCACATTCGTATAGAATGGAAACAAAAAAAAAAAAAAAAAAACAATTCTAACAGCAGCCTACAACAATCCTTAAACAAATAACCGTTAATACATTTGAAATTGAAAATAATAAAAATAAGAAAAAGTGTTATTAACATTTTATGATTGAATTTATGAAGACCACAATAATATGTAATTTCTTTGTACTTAAACAATTTCTGTTTAAATGTCATTGCAATTTTTAGCTTGTTTTCGACTTCTTTATTTTTGGTATAAATGTAAATGTTTAGTTATCGTCTTATTTACCTTGAAATTCTCAAAGGGGGCGGAATTATTCCCACATATAGGCATTATTAGATTGGCTCCATCTTGGCACCAAAAAATAAGTAGTGATAAGTTATTCTCGTAAAAATTTAAATCTCTACTAAAAGTTCTGTTCTGTTTTTTTTTTTTTTTTTTTTGTTTTGTCTGACGCAATATTTTATGGCTTAATTAAAAAGTTTATATAGAATTTGTACTTGTTTGGCACAAGGTGTTTTCTGAAGAGTTGTTATTTGAAGTTAAATAAATATTCTGCTATATACACATGTAATATGTTTCCAACCGACAGTTACTTTTTTTCACAACCTCAAGTTCCCCAAAAACCTCAAATTAAGATAATATTGATAATCTACTATCACTTTTAAGTTTCTGTCACACATCGATTACAGAAAATAAGCTCCAGTTCATCAAGTAATGAAATAAATTTTAAAAATATAAAATACATCTATCTATTCACCCAAACCGACATGGTCATGCTTCTATCCTGGGGAATACGACATACATCCCCGAGAATATCGATTACTGCTCTCCCACGCTCCTTCCGGAGAAAAGATTCACAGTTAAGATGTCAAACGAACCATCCTTCTCGGAGGGTGCAACACTTGACATCTATACTGATGGATCTCTACAGGTGTGGGTGGTGGTTTCTTTATCCCCCGCTTAAATAAGGCGGTGTGTTTTAGGCTAGACAACTACAGTAGCGTCTTATAGGCTGAAATCTCAGCTATAAAAAGAGCGGTTAACTGGATGAAGTACTATAGGATATGCAATGAAAACATTCGAATTTGTACTGACAGTAAACCTGCTACAAAATCTTTATCTGGTGTCTACACGAGATCCAGAGTGGTTTGCGAATGTCGGGTGTCTCTTGACGAGATGGCAAACCATTCGTGGCTGGAACTATTCTGGGTACCGGGTCACTCTAATATTCCTGGAATTAGAAAAGCGGACGAACTAGCAAAAACTGGTTCCCGCCTTCACATAAGAGGATACTAACAAATTAGTTGGTGTCCCGCTTTCATGCTGTAAAGCCTTTATTCAGCATGAACTTTATGGGTCTGCTCAGACCAGATGGTCATCACTGACCCACTGCTCAACACCAAGAATGACCTGGCCTCTCTATGATGAGCGAAGATCTTTTTGTTTGATGGTTCTTTCCAGGATGAGACTTCGTATACTGGTAGCCATCCTAACAGGGCACTGTACTATAAGTGCGGATGCAAGAATACTAAATCATCCATACAATGACTATTGCAGTAGTTGTCAAAGTGAGGATAAGAGGAAACCGTAGAACACTTCCTTTGCCTCTGTCCTAACCTGACAAGTATCAGGACAGAGTCTAGACAGTCCAACATTGCAAGAACTTGCGGCTCTATCTAATATAGACATATATAAGATAGAATCGTTCTTTTGTGCATCTGGCTGTTTTAATACCATGTTAATCACGGACATGTAATGTCCCATAGGTTGGTTTTCTTTTTCGCAGGATCCGTTACAGGGTATCACTACGGGACCACTAGGACCCAAGTGAGTCGGCCAAATGGCCGACTGCCTCAATAACCTAACCTATCTATCTATCTATATATATCTATCTATCTATCTATCTATCTATCTATCTATCTATCTATCTATCTATCTATCTATCTATCTATCTATCTATCTATCTATCTATCTATCTATCTATCTATCTATCTATCTATCTATCTATCTATCTATCTATCTATCTATCTATCTATCTATCTATCTATCTATCTATCTATCTATCTACCTATCTATCTATCTATCTATCTATCTATCTATCTATCTATCTATCTATCTATCTATCTATCTATCTATCTATCTATCTATCTATCTATCTATCTATCTATCTATCTATCTATCTATCTATCTATCTATCTATCTATCTATCTATCTACCAAAACAGCATGAATGAATGAATAAATTGGACTTATTTTGATCGTATAAGTCTAATTTTTTGTGTGGACATTTGTTTTGATGCAATACATTATAATCAACAATAAAATCGATTTTGAATTTTTGGTTAGTTAGGGCCGTTTGCGTTTCAGGTGACGTAATGCTGAATATACAAAATCGTAAGACATTGAAACGCGGTTAGTTTCGTTCGGGCACTTTGGTTACCAAGAGAAATTATCGACTTTGAATCGATATAATTGGTTTTATAACATCAATGGCCAGATAGAAACAGACCTAGGATGTTGTGTTCAATTTATACGCTTTTATGCATTACCACAAGTTTTGCAATGTATATGTCGGTCTATTAATAAATGCCTCTCTATATAAGAATCTTCACTGTTTTTCAAATGTAAAATAGGTCCCAGTTCTTCTAGAAATATTTTTTTAAAATTTCCCTACTGGGAAGCAAACTTCTTACTTTTATTTATGATTTATTAATCCGATATATTAAAAAAATCGTTATCATAAATAATAAAGTTTAATAATAGAATTTATGAATCATTTGTAGGAATTTTTTATTAAACATACAAAAATAAGATAGTTTTCAACTGTTTGTTTACTGGCATGCTAATTTTACTATAAGTAAAATTAATATAAACCAAGAACAAAAAAATATTATTAAAAAATTAATTATAAAACGTTTTAAAAACATGGAATTAAAGATATTTTTTAATAAAATACATTACTTTTAATAAATCGCTCATTTTCACGCCATGCAAAATACAAAGCAAACTTTAAACAGCTGATCAAATCAATAAACTTAGCCAGGCTAGAATCAAACAGGTGCCACCCATAGGAGCCATACGGGCAAATGGAGGTTTATTACCAGTAAAGGCGCGATAATAAAGAGTACCACTGAAGAACAAAGTGCCCAAGACCATTAGAGAACCGGACTAGGGAAAACCACAAATTTATTTCTATTAAAAATTAAAAAGAATATTAAAAACTTACCACCAGGGGGTATTTAGCCATAGGCATGCCCAACAAGGCAATCGAGTGAAAGAAATGAAAGCGATTGGCAGTCTCGAAAACATTACGTAGTTCTGGCTTATCCTGGATATTCAAATGATGACTGCCTATAGCACCCAAGACAACCGCCGATGCACCACTTAGACCAGCTAAACGTACAAAATTATAATTATGTCCAGCCAATTGCCACAGCGATGGCATAACATTTTTCATCACTTTCTGGGACATATTGGAAGCTTTACCGGCCGCAGACTATAAAATGTTAATATTTTATTTCTTTGTTAGATAAATATTGTTATAAAACTTTACCTTTGAACTTTCTTTAGAAAATATGGAGGCAGTTGTACCAATTATTGTTTTGCTCACGGGATTTCCTAAAACCAAATAATGCAAAGTGTCAGTCACTGACATTTTGATGTTGTTGTGGTTTTTCTTCTTCTTGGAAAAAGCAAAACCAAAAAGCCGGTCGCTTTTTATTCTGTTGGTTAATTATTGTAAAATTTTGTTGTGTAGTAGCTTTAATTATTGAATTTATTTTGGAAATTTAATTTTTTTTTATTTTTCTATAAATTTTTACCTTTGTTTGCAAAAAAACTGAATTCTGTAAAAAAACTTTAAAAAGCTAATAAATATTCACAGTAGTAATTTTAAAAGTGTTGCCACTATATTAATGGTTTGTTAAGCAACAATGTATTTTGGAGCCCGGTGGTTAACGCTGCCGACGCGTCAAGCAAAGCTTGTTTGACGTTGTTGATGCTGCTAACTGTGAGTTAACAATTAAAAACATTCACAATAAATTATAAAACGAAATATTTACTATCAATTAAAAGAATTAAATATAATTGAAAAAAAGCAAAAGAATTCGTTATACAAAAACACGTTTCTAGATTTTACGAGTATAGGAACAATCCGAAACGAGGCGATTTCTAAAATGACGGACTTACCGGACTTACGGACGAACTTACGACGCTACCGACATACACTAATACGACTCCGGACTAGACGGACTTACTCCACTTACTACTACTACGGACGACGGACGGACGGACGGAGGACGGACGGACGGACGGACGGACGGACGGACGGACGGGACGGACGGACGGACGGACGGACGACGGAGGACGACGGACGGACGGACGGACGGACGGACGGACGGACGGACGGACGACGGACGGACGGACGGACGGACGGACGGACGGAGGGACGGACGGACGACGGACGGACGGACGGACGGACGGACGGACGGACGGACGGACGGACGGACGGACGGACGGACGGACGGACGGACGGACGGACGGACGGACGGACGGACGGACGGACGGACGGACGGGACGGACGGACGACGGACGGACGGACGGACGGACGGACGGACGACGGACGGACGGACGGACGACGACGGACGGACGGACGGACGGACGGACGGACGGACGGACGTACGGACGGACGGACGGACGGACGGACGGACGGACGGACGGACGACGGATTACGGACGGACGGACGGACGACGGACGGAGACGGAGGACGGACGACTTACTACTTACTTACTTACTTACTTACTTACTACTTACTTACTTACTTACTTACTTACTTCTATTACTTACTTACTTACTCTTACTTCCCTTACTTACTTACTTACTTACTTCACTTACTTACTTTACTTACTACTTACTTAATTACTTCTTACTTACTTACTGACTTACTTACTACTTTTTACTTACTTTACTTACTTACTTACTTACTTACTTACTTACTTACTTCTTTACTTACTTACTTACTTACTTACTTTACTTACTTACTTACTTACTTACTTACTTACTTCCTTATTTACTACTTACTTACTTACTTCTTACCTTACTTACTTACTTTACTTTACTTACTTATTACTTATTACTTACTTAATTACTTACTTACTTACTTACTACTTACTTACTTACTTAACTTACTTACTTACTTACTTACTTACTTACTTCTTCGATATGTATTTACATTAATATATTTTCTTTTCTTTCCAAAGTTCTAGAACCAATAATCATGTTTCAACGAAGCATTAATAAAGTTCCACATTTTTCTATCTAGGGTGTTACCCAATTTGTTTGCAGAACTAAATAACGAGTAGTTTGCAGCTATGTGGCATTCCCCTCTCTACTTTTAACAAAATACCCACCGAATTTTCAAAGCATATGTCACGGAGTAAATTCTACCATTTTTTCTTTATAAAAACAACTTCCAATCTAACACACGTGGAAAAAGAAAATTCAAAAATATATAGAAAAATGGTAAGTTCTAATTAAAAAGAATTAAATAAATTAAAAAAAAAATCAAAATAAATTTTTCTATAATGATGAGGACTGATGACGAGACTGAGTTTTATAATTTTGTTCGTAGATTTCCATGTATTTTTCATGGTAATTTACACTTTTGAAATTATTAAAACACAAGATGTTACGGCAGGCTGAATTTAGAAAAATTAATTTTAATTCTTTTAGAAAGTGCAAAGTTTAAACTTTATACTAATCTATACTTCAATTCATTACAGCGTTTAACAAAAGCCAGCTAAATTTCTTTAGAATAAAAAACACCACGTGTTTTTTGAGCTGAACAAATAATGAAAATGGCGTCCTATGGAGACTGAAAATCTTTCAAGGTAAATATTTTCTAAATAAATTGTAAATAAAATAATTTTAATGATGAAAAAAACAGACCTGTACTAAAAATCATTGAAAGACAACATATCAACTGAAATATATTAAAAGTACAATTTGAAATATTGTTGGGAATCTAAACTAACCTCACTTTTTTAATTGCAGGATAGATTTCTTATTTAAAAGGATATCCATTCTCCACAAGATGTCTGTTACAAAAAGGTTGGTATAATTGATTATTTTGTGCTTTTTTATTTTCTTAAATGATGATAACCCTAAACATTCCTTTTGCGGTTTCCACCGGAAGTTCTGCTAATGACGGTTTTGGATTGTCTGATATTTTTGAAGATTTTCATAAATATTAAAGATATTTTTAATAATTTCTGTGTATTAATAAAATGAAATTTTCTTTTCCAGTTAATACATTGAAACTCGCAGAGTTTTTGAACTGAATTGTTGCATTTTGTGGAGAAACATCCAGAAGCAAAATAGCCCCTCCAAGGTGTGTATTTATCAGTATTGAAATATTTGGAAAAACATTAGATAAGCATTTATAGTAAACCTTAGATTTATGTAGTATATGATGAGACTATTATTACTTTTCCTTTTGTGGTTTCCACCAGAAGTTTGCTAGTGATGGGTTATAGGACGTCTGATATTTTTTTTAATAAATTTAATTACTTTTTGATACTTTTAAACAAATCATTAATAATTAATTTTCTTTTATAATTTCAGATAATATTTTTAATGGGGAAGACAGTTGGCATGTCATTCCAAAGAAACCATGAGAATTATTGCGGCATAATAAAGATGTAAAAGTTTAAAGAAAATAAAATGTATTTATTACAAAAAAAAAACAAATTCAATTTATGATTTTTTCTTAATGTATAGAATATTTTAAGACTTTTTTAACTTCAGATGAAAAAGCTTTAACGCTTTATGTATCAGGTTGAGTTATGCAAAACAAGAGAAAAGTGTAATAAAACATTCTTGTAGTAAATTTGAGATATGATTCCATATTTTCTATAATAGTGATAACTAAAAAACGATCGTTGATATTTATACGAAATCAATTCCTTTTGAATCCTAACACGAGCCTTTTCGAAATCTAGTTTAACTGAAGCTTGCTTGAAGCAAAATTATTTTTTATAGAGAAAGATATGAGGTATGGAACTGTTCAGAAATGCATGACTATACTACATCTGATGCAAATCAGAGCGTTTCTACGTTATATTTCTGTGGTGCATTTCCGTGCGCACTATGCATCAGATGCATTTCGAAACAAGCCCACTCTGGCCTATCGTCATCTGAAACGCAAACGGCCCTAACTAAACCAAAATTAAAAATCAATATTATGTATTTCGCAAAAATGGAATACCTAATTCAAAAGGAATGATCCGATTTAAATAAAATATAACTGTTGAGTTTAGATTTGAACATACCATATAGATTGGTGGGCAAGATGTTCCAGAATTCTATAACAGACCTGTATAAAACAATTCCTTGATTCTGAATCGATTATGTTGTAACTCAAATTAACTCTTACGATACTGTAAAGCCATATCGGAACGTATGATAGAATAGCCCAAAGCGACTAAACTAATAGCCCAAAACGATGCAATTGTTCAAGCAACTAAATAACTTCTTTTTAGGTACTACAAAATGATCGCCAATTTAAACTAAATCTTTTGCAACTTAAACTTTCGCTTTCCCACAAGCCAATTAAAAAAATACAAATTTTATTTCCTTCTCTTTCAAAAGAGTTGTCAATTTATTTTCTTAAAAAGTTCTCGAGATTTATGCTCTTAAAACATCCAAACCGAATTCTTAAGCATCAATGTGACGGGAGCCAGGTTTGTCAGCCAAGAAATCAGCGAATTGTTGGTAGGGGGTAGCGCCCAAAGGCATTTCCTTCCACAAATCGGGTGTCAAGTAGGCGTAGGTCTTAGCGATGGCAGCATAAGTAGCCTTGGCGAAGTTACCCAAGGTACCAGTGGAGCCACGGGCAGAGGTATAACAATCTTGAATACCAGCCATAGTCAACAACTTCTTGGGGACGGGGGCAGATACAATACCGGTACCACGGGGAGCGGGGATCAAACGTACAGATACGGAACCACACTTGCCGGTAACCTTGCAGGGTACGGTATGGGGCTTACCGATCTTGTTACCCCAGTAGCCACGACGTACAGGGACGACAGACAATTTAGCCAAGATGATGGCACCGCGGATAGCGGTGGCAACTTCCTTGCTGCACTTAACACCCAAACCAATGTGACCGTTGTTGTCACCGATGGCAACGAAAGCCTTGAAACGGGTACGTTGACCGGCACGGGTTTGTTTCTGTACGGGCATGATCTTCAAGACTTCATCGCGCAAAGCGGAGCCCAAGAAGAAATCGATGATTTCGAACTCTTTGATGGGCAAAGAGTACAAGTAGATTTCTTCCAAAGAGTTGATTTTGCCATCACGTACCAAACGTCCCAATTTGGTGACTGGAACCCATTCCTTGGAATCTTCCTTGCCACCACGGCCACGACCACCGCGTCCACGGCCACGTCCGCGACCACGGCCGCCACGACCACCACGAGAACCAAATCCTCCACGGAAACCACCACGGGCTGGAGCTGCGTCCGCCATTCTATAAAAGAAAACAAAACATAAAATTAGTCATTTATTTCACATGTGGTAAGGAAAAGTGAGGTTAGTTTCAATTGCAAAATATCAGACACCTTTAACCATCCTTAGGTCAAAAACCATGCGATTGCAAATTGACCTTCTGGTGGAAACCGCAAAAGGAAAATTAATTGTCTCATCATTTAATTATAAACAAAAAACTATAAAAAATCTTAAGCTTTATCAAAAAAAAATATTTTAAGACGCCATTTTGAAACACGTGGCTTTAAATTTTTCCACTTGTTCGTCTTCCAAGTGCATATTTTCAAACAAATATTTAGTTTTTAAAGTTATTTTAATTATTTGCTTTAGATTTTTTTAAGTTTTTGTTTATTTTTATTAATATTTCTAAAATTTTTACACTTTAATTCCATATTTTACTTACTTGTAGTATAAATATTCAAGTTAAAACGGTGAAGGTATAAAACCGAATGAACGAGACAAAACTCGTCCACAGGCCATGAAGCTAAATTCGCTGATTTTTTTTACTCGTTTCTTTATTTTTGTTGAGTTGTATTTTGACTAGTTGTTGTAAAATGTGAAGTGGCCAGATTTATGAGTTTTTTGATCTAGGCAATTTTAAACTACCCTTCGTCTTTATATTGTGAACACATTCGGATATTTGCGAAAAGGCTTATTTGCTTTTAAAATAAAAAGTTGTGGGGAGATATTTTAAATAATTTATAAACCCATTGAGTGACAAAAGGAAAAAAAGAGTACTAGGGTCATATATATAGACTTTCCAACAATCGAACAAATGAAAAGTCTAAAAGTCGACATTTTTAATATTTAAAAATCAACTTATCCTAAATAGCGGAAAGTTAACTTTTAATAAATTGAAAAGTCTCCTTCTTTCAACTATAGCACGCCGGGCGTACTGATCATATGCTTGTTTCAAAGATAAATCAATTTTTTGCTTGTTTTGTATACCTTTTTAGCATCTACCTTTAAAAAAATCGTGTTTTAACGGTATTTATACATTTTAGTGCTTTTTACGCAATAAAGTTCAAGTCTGGTAGCCATTTCCTCTAGCTAAAACAGGGTTGTTGTTTTATTTATATTTTTTTCACTCATTAATAGATAAATTGCATTTTTTCATTCATATATTTACTTTCTATACAATTTTAGCTAAATACAAAGTAATATTAACAAACTGATTAAAAACTCATTAATAATATAAATCCTCTTGATGGCAACCATGAAATTATTATAAAATTAACAAAAATACATAAAAGTATAGTGAATTTAACATAAAAATGGTTAATAAACAAGAATCTGTTTTGGCTGCCATAACATTTTTTGCAAAAATTCATCCCGGTGAAGTTTGTGGTAGCAATGGTTTACCTTTGACACCCAACTCTATAGCCATTCTAGGTAGATCCCAAAAGCTAAAAGAGTTAAAACATCCAAATTTATGTCAATATCTGGATGTGGTTAGAGGAAAACATGGTAAGTTTTTGCTTTAAAGTACAAAATCTTAGCAACGCCCCTTTTTAAAACAAAAGTTTAATTAATGAAACCTTTTTTTATATTACAGAAAGAACTATTGTGGTGTCCGAATATCGCGGCTCTACTTTACAAGATAAAAGTAAAACTTCTCTTAATTTAGCTCTAATAGTAAGAATATTTTTTCAAATTGCCTCCGCTCTCAAAGAATTAAATGCCCATAAAATTGTGGCCCATAATTTGGAACCGAAAAATATACTTTTAGATCATTTAAATAACATAAAATTATTCAATTATGGTTTGTACTACATGACCAAGGGTGGCGAATATGTTGCCTTTCCCATAGGCAATATAAAATATATGCCGCCAGAACGTTTGCTGGGTTCCAGGAATAATATTAAAAGCGACATCTGGTCCTTGGGCATGATTATAGCTGAACTCCTGTTACAATCATCATTTTGGCCAAATTTAAAAATATCCTCTATATCTCGAAAAATCTTGTCATTTTGTCAATCTAATAATGTTTTTGAAAAAATCGCCAGGGAACATGATAAACTAGAAGTTTATCAACATTTGGACAGTGAAGTACGTGATTTAATAGAACAATGTTTGGCTGTTAAACCATCCGAAAGACCACTACCAGAGCAACTCATAAATAGCTCTATATTTAACAAGAATCTCAATTTGTATCAATGTACCCCAGTGGAAAAATCTCCCATACTTTTGTTACGCATGCCTTTAGAACAAATCTATTATTGGTGGCAGCTGGCCGGCGGAGATGTTCAATCGGAACTGAAAAAAGAGGGTCTCATACGTAGTGAGGCTCCCATATTATCTATACCACAAGTTGTTTGCCTTAATGGTTCTATCGTTGGTCCTAAACGCAGCCAATCGTATTTAATGGATGATCGTGTGGTCATATTAAAGTTACAAAATCTTATAGAACGTTTACGCAGAATACCCGCTATGGCTTATTATCCTTTAATACATTCCCCGAAATTTCCCTATAATTTTGGTTTGGGTATGGATCAATTGCCGTTGGTAATACGTGAAAAAGATATTGAATATCAATTTTATAGAGTTAGATTATTTTCGAGATTATTAAAGGTTTGTATTAAGGATTTGGAATTTAACATGATATATTCGAATTTATAGTATTTCTATGTTAAGGGGTATCCTTATACGGCGGATCTAATACGCAAAGAAGCCAGCATTGATATACCGCCTTTATTAAGGGGCCCTATATGGGCTTGTCTTTTGGATGTCATACCTAACGGAAGTTATGAAAAAATTGATAAATTTACACCCACCTCAACGGATCGTCAGGTGAGTTTCAATGAAAGCACTCTTCAGTTCTACTTCAATTCTTGTTCAGTTCTAGTTCAGTTCTAGTTCAGTTCTAGTTCAGTTCTAGTTCAGTTCTAGTTCAGTTCTAGTTCAGTTCTAGTTCAGTTCTAGTTCAGTTCTAGTTCAGTTCTAGTTCAGTTCTAGTTCAGTTCTAGTTCAGTTCTAGTTCAGTTCTAGTTCAGTTCTAGTTCAGTTCAGTTCTAGTTCAGTTCTAGTTCAGTTCTAGTTCAGTTCTAGTTCAGTTCTAGTTCAGTTCTAGTTCAGTTCTAGTTCAGTTGTAGTTCAGTTCTAGTTCAGTTGTAGTTCAGTTCTAGTTCAGTTCTAGTTCAGTTCTAGTTCAGTTCTAGTTCAGTTCTAGTTCAGTTCTAGTTCAGTTCTAGTTCAGTTC